CTTGAACCAAAAGATGAAAAGTTGTGATAATAGAGCGCAGACTCATGCCACAAGTGAAACCTTATTTGGATTGAAGTACTTCTCACATTTTTTTCTAATAGCTTCTTTGACATCTAGGCAAGGCAAGGCAGGTTTATTTATATAGCACAATTCATACACAAGGCAATTCAAAGTGCTGAACAAAATAAGAAAGCATTAAAATCATAAATAATCATAAAGATCTACAATCTCTTTATCCATTTCCTGATATTATGTGTACCAACCTCTGCATTGCCTAAAGTAATAATAAAAAACATATTACAACATTTTTAATTTAATTTAAAATAAAGTATAGTGGGTTGGAAAAAATAAATGATAGTTACTGGAAACCAAAATGTCATTGTATCTTAATAACACAGAGGAGCTGCATGTGCACATATCGTATTTCCTCTGCATTAGTAAAGTGTGAACCAAAACTGTTTGAGGCGTGAAAAGCTTTGTTAAAAGCATATTTGACTCAAGTATTCTCACATCCTGTTCACAAGTTTACATTTGTTTTTCTAGAACATTTCTGTTGCATTGTACTTTGGTTGTGTGTCGTGTTTTTAGTCGTAATTTTCATGTAAACATAAAAATGTGGCACCAATCACCCAATCATAAAATAATTTCAAAACTGAATCCGTATTGCTCTGATTTACAAACTCAATTTAAAGAGGGAGAAAGAGATAGATGGATTGATGCACAGCCATAGGTCTAAAAGTCCAGGGTTTTCTACTGGGTCCTCAAAGGGCTGCGTGGCTGCAGGGTTTCATTACACACAGACACACACATTTTATACATTTCTCTATTGTGAGATCAATAAAGTCTTTCTTATCTTTCTTCTTAGTTTTGTGAGAGGTCTGTGTTACTGTAACAATAGAATGCCCGGATAAGTTATTTAGATGGCTTTTAGTTTTGGAATCTGTCAGGGTTGTGTTTGTGTGCTCTCCCTCCTCCCCTCTGTGTTCCTGGAGCTGGGCGGAGTGTCTGTAGTCCTGGTCCTGCCCCTGGCTCAGCCCTCCACACCTGCAGCTCATCATCAGCCTCACCTGGTAAAAGCCTGGTTCACCCTTCACCACGTGCCAGATTGTCAGTAAAACTTACAAGGTACTACTTCTTGGTCTTTTGCTGTATCTCTTGAGATCCTCGTTAATTGTTTTTTCATCCCTTAGACCCAGGTTCGTTTTTTGGTCCAGACATAGCTATCTCTGGTTTTTTGCCCTGCTTCAGCCTCCAGCCCTGCTCAGTCCTGCCCAGCCACCACTGCTACCTGCTTGCACCTATTTTTGTAATAAATATTGTAATCATTGTCTGCACGTTTGATTCTCTAGTCATTACAACAGAATCGTAGTTACTTGGCGTATTGAGCATTGTCTTTTTTCCTATGTTTTTTCTATTTTTCATGAAATACGTTTAATTTTTCAGAATTCCATTGGTTTGAGTGGGGCAGTCAAAATGACGGCTCTGGGAATTCTCACAGTTTCAGAACTCTGGGAGTCCTAGTGTTTTTTTAAGTATTAATAATAATGAGGGGATTTTTTTTTTTATTTCAAACCCTTTTGAGCAGGGTCAGATAGACAGAGGTCATCGCAGAGCGCCTGGTTGACCTCTCTTTCTCATAGTTTAGGGACGGTTACTTTAAGCTCAGCTCATAGGATTAGATCAAGGTTAGTTAGGAGCTTTTTGAGTTTTGTATTTAATTTTGAAGATAATTAAATATTTGAACTTTTGGAATCTTGCCTCTCATTTCTCTTATCAAATAAAAGACACGTCCAAGTCTATTTTTAGACAATACCACGTACAAAATTACAAAGTTATTATACAAAGATTCTTTCTGTATGACTTTGACCCCCTTGGTTTTAAATGTTTTTCCAACTATAAATGATCCCGCTAACACATGCTACTGACACAGAAGCTATAACCCTATAACCACTGACACCGAACCTCCCAGATCTGCTATTAATGATGTGTTCGCTGTCATCATGAGAGGCCGTAAAACTCTGGCTCGATCAGTTAAATGAGCAGTCGAGGCCACATTGCAACAACAGTCCCAAAGCGTGACAGCCTTCATGGTGTATCTGGGGGAAGTGATTTTTGTGGTGAGTGAAAGCAGAGGTGAAATGTATCCGTAACTTCCTATTTGATCCTTTGAATAACTTTGGACAGACTGTAACGTGCCGAGGTGAGTGGAGCGGAGGCTGGGTGTAACCTGAGTGCTATCGCAGACGGATGAGGGGAGAGTGAATGGGGCTTCTCCCACTGGGTCTATTACCGCCTCAATGGGTTTAGCATGCGGCGCGTGGTGGGCAACGTCAGGACGTTTGCATCGCGCCTGTGAAATGTAAAAATGTGGTTTGTCTTGAGAGAGTTCAGTGTTCTCTGTGTGGACTACACTTTTATATTTTCTAGTTGCACATATGCATGCAGTTTACTATTGTAAGGAACTGGATCAGGTCGGCTTAACTTAGGGGAAAAACTGATTCACAATTATCGTTCAAAAACATTGTAGCAAACTGTTTTCCAATCAATATAATGAATAATAGTTTTTTTTTTCCAATTATTGATGCTTCCTATATGTCTTTTAATCTGCAAGAGGTACACAACAAACACATGTAATTTCTCTAAAAAGAATTAATTTGCAAAAGTAATTGTGTTTTAAATGATTTACTGTATATATCATTTAATGTGGCATGGGGCCGATTTATATAAACATTGAAAGCATTTACAGCCAGCCTTAAAAACATAGATACTACTTATTTTGTACATTTTGTGTGCTCCCTGTGTGCTCTTACTCCTGTCCCGTATGTGCGTTGCAATATTGAAATTTCCCCACTGTCGGACGAATAAAGGATCTCTTATCTTATCTTATGATGGTCAAATTAATTGTGATTATACTTTCGCCACATGGAAGAGTTGGGAGTTTACTCACCACCCAAAAGTGGTTCAAAACCCCCATTACAACCACCAACCTGGCAACCTGTCATTGTCTTTTGTAAGATCGGTCATATCATAAAATAAATAAGTTTTTCATAATGCGTTTGTAATGAGCTCTTGTTTTCTTCCATTGCACACATTTTAATATTTATTTCAAACCGTGTGGGAGACCTGTATTTATGGACCACTTACTTCACAGATCCAAACACTATAAAAATATGACCTCGGTCCTGTCTCCAGATCAGGAGATATTTACCTGCACTGGGGCCTAAACCGCTTCACGTGAGGTTTTTATCGCATTTAATAACGCCGATGTTTTCACACTATCGCTCTGCTCTGATCCCATGATGAACTGGTAAAGGAGAACCACGGCCCTGTTGTGCGGAGCAGGTGAAGCAGGAGCTAATCACACAGGCATGACAGACCTCCCGAGTGGATCCATCACTTTAAACCTCGGCCAATTTTTCACTTTCTTCTCATTTCTGCATTTTTACCATTCCTGAAGTAACCCTCTTTCACCACCCAGGTCTTATCTGCTGCACGACTATATTTCAGATCACGGTGAGTTCATTTTGGGCTTAATCTCAGCTGAACCAAACAAATCCCTTTGGCTGGAAAGGGTTGCACTCTTTGTCAACTTACAGAGAAAATGGAGAAGAATCTAAGTATATCGGCAATGCAAGTTTTGAGGCCTAGTTTGCCCTGTGTTCCTTGTCCCATTTATGAGGTTTAATGTAAAATTCTGGTCTGTGAGAGAAGACGGTGTGACGCACAATATTCCTTAAAAATCCTGAATCCAAATGATGATCCCGTCACCTCCAGATTTATAAATATTTAGTCCCAATCCCTGTTAACTTTTGCCATAAGTTACTTTCTAACTTACAAATGGAGATAATAATGTGTGCTGATTAATAATGTGACACATCATAAATATTTAATAATAATGACGTCTTTTTATTCTATCCATCCATTTTCTTCCCCTTAATCCTTTTCTGGGTCGGGGGGGTGGCAGTCAGAGCTGCACCCAGCACACAGAGCACCAGCCCCTCACTGATCCTCCTGCAGGTGGTGAGTCCACAGGAGCTGAGATCTTTCAGTTGGGGCTTTGGGCAAAGTAGGGTTAAGTGTCTTGCCCAAGGACACAACGACAGCAGTCATCAGTGGGAGTCGTGAAGTAGGTCTTGCGGTGGGCTCGAACCCACGACCTTCAGGCCCAAAGGCCAATGCTCTTCCAACTGAGCTACTGTCGTCCCTCTTTTTATTCTAATATTTTCAAAATGTTTTTATTGGCCAATACAGGTGAAACTCTGAAAATAGTTCAAAAAGTGAATTTACCTCTCTACATTTCAAAAGGCTGCTCAAGAAGGAAGTGCTCAAGAAGTATGTGGAGGAGTGAGGACTTCAGTATAGAGGGAGGGAGGTGTGAGGTCAGAGAGTGTTTGGGCCTGTGTCGTGTCGGGTGTTGTGATTGTGTTGTGTGTGTGATTGGCTGATTGTGTGTTGAATGAGTGAGGGGTTGCAGCCAAATAAGCGTCTGCTTCGTCCAGCCTCCTTTTCTAACACTTTATTTCTGTTTATTTTGTGTCTTGCTTTTGTTTTTATTTAACTTGCATATTGTCAATATTGCTTTATTTGCATAACGTTTGAAATAAATTCTACTACTACTACTAAATGTGAAACGTATAAGACTTATAAGACAGTACGTGAAAAATAAAATATTTGAATATATAAATATATGTTATCATGTTGCCACCCTTACATTGTGTGCACCATGTGTAGCACTGTATATTGTATATAGTAATTGTAACTCTATTTTAATTTTAATTTTAAATTTATTCCTTAGAAGTGTTTTTTATTCTTTTTATTTTATTCTATTCTCTCTCTCTGACTGTTGCACTGAGCCAAAGCAATTTCCAAGTCTGTGACCTCCTTTTACTTATGTGGCAAAAAAAAAAATTCTGATTCTGATTCTGATCATTGACACAGCTTGTAAAAACCAATACAAAACATCTAAAACATGAAAATAATTTTTAAGTACTGTACGCCAAAATCCTCAATAACAATAACAACCTTTATCTTTGCGGCAATCACATTTGCTTCATAAATGTTGTATGGATTATTTAGAACTCATAATTCTTCGATCTTGAGTCTCATCCTATTATTCATTCAAGTTGCTCTTTGCACACACTTCCTCTTCTTCCTCCTTCAAATCTCTCACATGCACTAACTTCAAATGCGCAGCAGCGTCCCGTCGCTCCTGTGTCCTGACGGGAAAATGAATGGCTCTATTATGCCCAGAACACACCTCCATTCTCAGGAGAGACCCCTAACCTTCCTCTGTTACATAATGAGCCAAACCCGGCTGTATTTGCCTCATTTTGTCTGTTTTTCTCCACAGTGAATACACTCTTTGTATTTGCTACAATCTGGAAGTAAAGTCTGTCATCGAGAAGGCACATACTTCAATACTTTGGGTGAAAATACATGTATTTGCAGAACAAGATGGTTCCTTTGTTTGATATGCTCTCAAGTATTAGACTGGTCTTGCTTGACAATATCATAGATCAGCAAAAAAGATTATAGCTACGATCACATCATTTATTATTGAGAAGTTTGAAGGTCCTTTATTCTTCCCGTAATGGAGAAATTTCAGTTTGATGCAGACATATATACACATCAAGGCAAGCAGCGAACATCACTTCCGCGCTCCTTATAGGCAAAGTGGGTTAAGTGTCATGCCCAGACATCAGTGGGAGTTGGTGGAGAAAGTCTTCTGATGGGCTCGAACCCGCAACCTTTGGGCTCAAAGGTCAATGCTCTACCAACTGAGCCACTGTCGTTAAAGAGGACAAACAACTTCCAAATGCAGGTGGCACCATTACAAGTTTAATAGAATATATTCTGGGTACATATATTCTGTATACAGCATTGTAATTGACTTATTGTCATGACACACTTTAATATTACTTTTAGTACTTTTTTTTAAAATGTATATAGCACCTTTCACAGACCAGAGTCACTAAACCAATTGTTTCGGGCATTTGTCTCTCACTCCACACAGAGATGGGCAGGAGCATAATAACCCATTCATGCCAAGACAAACACACAAATACCACAACAAAGTTAACAAGTCCATCCATCCATTTTCTTCCTCTTAATCCATCTCCAGTCACTCAGTACACAGAGCACCAGCCCCTCACTGATCCTCCTGCAGGTGGTGGGTCCACAGGAGACTCGATCTTTCAATGTTGCCCCGAAGTTAACAAGTGCCACATGATATATAGATTAATTGATAGAAACAAAATCTAAAAAAGTTCATAAAAAACTTAAATGTGGTACAGTTCTTAAGAGTTATTGAAAGTTTCAGTCTCTTGGTCTAACTTTTTTTTCTATACCTTCATAGTGTCAAGTTGAACCAAAATTTGATAATATTTTGCAGTACAGTAAAAACAGAGCAATGCATTTAAACAGCCCAATGCCATCTTGTCTGTCCTTGTGTTTGTGTAGCAGTAGTCTGATCCAGGGGCCCGGGCTCCCCTTTGGCGTGCTCAGGGGCCCGCTGCCTTTAGACTCCTGCAGTGGCATAAAAGAGCTTCTGTCCCGCGCAGACCTGCCCCACCGCAGACGCTCAGCCACCATCATCACCTCCACATCACAGGGATCCAGAGCCAGCAGGATCACTGTGAGACAGACCCAGCACAGGGGCCACTAACCAGGGCCCCTGCAGGCCGGCAGGGGGGAGTCATTTGCTCTTTCAATATAGCAAAGGAATCATAGCCCAGTTTCTATGAATAGCATAAATGTCGGTAAGAGGTGGATTTGAGCATGGATGTACACTGGAATGTTAAAATGCTGAGGGGAAATGAATTTCATGTTGCTCTTTGGAAATCCAAATACTGGCATGTCATAAATATTATATCAACGCATGCTTTGGCTACAAAGTGACGCAGCTTTCAGTCGTAATACATACTCTTAATAATCAAGGAAAGAAATTGATGCCATTGCAATAGGTTTGCATTAGCACCGTTATTAACACGTTTAACTGACAGCAGTGTTTTGACAGCATTGGTCTTTGGACCTAATGGTTTGGGGTTCTATCCCCCCACAACGCATGTCACCTGCTCTTACCGATGTACACTGTTGTTTCCTCGTGTTGCGAGCTCGGAAGCACTTAGCTAGAATCTCACTATATTTCCAATGAGAACTATACAAATAAATACCAGCAACGCCACCTTAGATTTTGGCCTAAGGAACCATTAAGAAGTTTATCCCCGCATCACTAGACCACAGGTTCGTTTGGATATGGAGAGAGACAGAGGCAAATCTAACAAAATATAAGTTTATTTAAATAGCTGACAAGTTTAATTGATTATTCTAATTAAAACACTTTCACAGCACACACACACAGCACACAGCACACACACACTCCCATTCATTCTCAGTCATACTGCATGCATTCCAGAACAATACAATCAACAGCCAGATAAACCAAAAAAAGAAAAGAAACAATTAACTTTTAAAAAGTGTCCCAACTACAGCAGCCGTCGCGTTCAGCCACACTAGGGCCGGAATTTGGTTACCTTGTGGGTAGAGGAATAAAAAGAAGCACTGGTTGGATTGTCCTTAGTTGAGGTGCGTGGAGGATTGGAGGCGCTGGATGGGATACGCGTCCTGCAGTCCCGCGGCCACCACATATTTATATACTCCCACTCATAAGATGCCTTTAGATTTCAAAAGGCCAGACTACAGTGCAAAAGACCCCACTTGGAAGGGGAGGTCGGAGACAACAGGAATCCTAAAACATGATTGTGTATTAGAAACAAACTCATATGTATGTATTGTTCAGGAGGCGCACAGAGTTAAACATACCGTTGCAGATTGAAGCGCTCCGCGCACGAGCCGCCCCAGCCCGTGACAGCACACTGGGACAAGCCTTTACGCACGGCAGTAACGTCCACGCCAAAGGGCCCGGTGAAGGAAAGCAGGCACAGCAGCGGTGTGCGCGCTAAGACACCGGTATGCTACAAAACACGATTTTAGGATAATCTAACTAATATTTTAATCACTACGCAGTACTCACCAAAAGCGCATACGACGATCGCGTGGTTCAATTGCGCGGCCTCTCGCCTTGTGCAATTGAACCGTGGTAGTTTGGTAGCGAGACGCTGATCAAAACACCTGCTCTGTCCCGGGCCAAGTCACTCGACGTCAGAGGCGGAAGAGGTCGGGCCGAGGTAGGACGCGCCTCT